GATTACTATGGCATAGGTTATAGGTTCACGTCTTACATTTTGCAAAAGTACGCCTTCATTAAACGACGTGATCAAACATTTGAATTAAGGCCCTTTGTGGAATTGACACCTCTTCGTTCAAATGTCTTGAAAGGGAGTAGACTAAATAGGTTTCGTATTGGGAACAAAGTCAAGGTTATGAGCCAGGCACATAGCCTAATGTTCTTATTGTTCTCCTCAGGAAAGATTGCGTAACGCGCCCCAAGAGTAGGCGGATGTTAATATTGCGTTTGGGTGGAAAGCTATGCTCGTTAATTGTTTAGTAAGGCGGTCTCATCTTTTGCGTAGACAAAGAGGAAATAAAAACCAAAACGCGCAAAGCAACTGGGGGCAATTAAAATAACAGCTTAGTGTTCGAATTTTGGTTTGCAGTGATATTCTAAATATCCGGTGGCTGGTGATTCCTGTGTTCATTTGAGCATATAGCAATAATTCAACTCAACTTTGATCATTCTGAATATCTCAAAGCGCAATTTAGAGTTCTGAAGAATAAATATTTAAGGACCAGGTCGACGTCATTACTTAAGGTTTCTTCTTTGTTCGGTGCTTTTATTTTGAAAGTAGCTCGTTCGCGCTCAGTTCGTCCCGTCTTTTTACAGATCAGATGCAGAGATCGTTAGATGGATTTTTTTTGAAAAATTATTCCGCCCGAAGGTAATGGAGAGGAAACGGTAATCCGCACACCTTGAAAAAAATTGGCCAATTTTTTCAACTTTGTTAACCGCAATCCGCCATCCTTGTTTATTGTTTGTTTTCTTTTGTTCAGTCTACCTTAGGAAAGTATTATTTTGAACTTTTCTTGAGTTTAAAGTGGTGAATGAAAACGAATTAAAATAACAAACATACTTTGTACATAAATTTACTAAGCATCCAGTCAACGTTTCAGTAAAGTTCCCGATTTTCTGACATCTTTAACTATATCATTCCTAGTCTATCGCCCAGCAAGGTACTTTGCCTCCGATGTTCTCGATATTTAACAATTATTCACCGAGGTGGAGGTGAAAAGTGGTGGATTTTACCGGGAGCGGAGAGGTCAATAACTAGCGGACTAGATAACACTTTGCTAATCACCTCCGATCGAGTTAACCAAACAGTAAATCGCGAGCTTATAGAAGTCTCGAGCTCACAAAGATCTAATTTTTAATTAAAATCCAATTTCCCTGTCTTGAAAAGCCTGCGAGCAGGCTCACGTTGGAGCGCAACGCCGCGAGCGCGAAATCGAGCGGCGAAGCCGCGAGACGAGAAAACGTGAAGGGGTAATATGATCGCGACTTTAAAACCAAAACAGACAGTTTCACGGTTCGGCGATCGGCATAAAATACATTTTTTTGGCTGTCTTATAATTCATTGAACTACATGTAGTTTAAAAATCTTCAAAAGGAAATGGGGGAACTTCTCGAGGTAGAGAAAAATTTTCTGTACTCTTCGGGTTCGAACCAACGACCTGCGGATTAGAGCACCGTCGGGCCGGGTTACCTCGTGTGGTGCATTATTTCCTTCTAGGGCTGATGCTCAGAGGGAAAATACTTGGGCTTGTTTCAAGCACGCCAAATTACTTTCGAGTTAGCTTTCTCCTCTCTAACACCAACACAACATGGACTGTACAGGACACCAAATAATTACCGCACTATGCTTCAATAATAAAATACGTGTTCTTCGCTCAGTTGTTTGTATCCTGGAGGCTGTTAAGTTATTCAATTTTGCCTGACGGTTTTTTTTTTGCGTTCTCTAATCTATTTAAAATGGTGCAATAAACCTAAGAAGTACTCAAATTTCTATCACATTGTTTATTCTAAAACTCTTTTCCTACATCCGACAGAGCTTTGCAAACTGCTAGGTTCCCTTTGATTAGTCCTTCGACAGCGTAAGGAATATTGTACTTGGCACAAAATCGCTTGAGAATCTTGGATGCCAGTGGTAAACTGTGGCGCGGCAGTGTGGGCCATACATGATGCTCCACCTGGTATGCAAGACCACCGCTGAACCACATGTTAAAGACTGTGGGTGTGATATCACGCGTAGAGCGAACCTGGAGGCGGACGAAGTCGGTGCCCTTCATCTCCTCACTCGTAAAGACTTCCATTGCGTTATGACCGACAGTGAACACTACTGCAATGAATAGGCCACCAAGTGACTGACATACAAGTAGAAAGACGGCGCGAGAAGAATTAGTTTCTAGCAGCGATGTGATGTATATCACTGCCAGATAATGAATTACCAAGGTGGTAATCTCTGAGATCTTCATCGCCAATCCACCCAGGTACTTGTGCAGCGGCTCGAACTGAAACAGCAGCGATTGTAGTAACCATGACATCCGCGCAGCAGCCATTAGTGGCAAGTAAAAGAATTTCTGGTGCCGAACCATGAACCTGGGATGGTCCTTGAGGTCTTCAGAGTCGCCTTCGATGATCTTCTCTGACCACAACAGCGACGGCATTGTTAAGATATCTGGATCCCCACCAGCTTGGGTGTGTACCACGTTCGGTGAGGCATGGTGATGGTTATGCTTCATCTTCCACCAAGAAGTAGAGAACCCCTGACATACGTTGCCGATGATGAGCCCAGCCAAGTTGTTGTACATACGGTTTTTAAATACTTGGTGGTGAAGGAAATCGTGAGCGAGCCAACCACACTGCTGCCAGAAAAGAGCTAACAAAACACCGCCTATGATCGCACCAGGCATGCCATTCAGGAACACAACTGCCGCGATTGCCAAGCCGAGTATGACAACGTTGGATGCCACCTTAAACGAATAGTACAGCTTTGAAGATTCAAATGCATGGGCCTTCATAAGCTCCGACCTCATAATCTAATATCTTTCCTATAGTCCATTTCAGTATCTGTCGAAGAGGAGTTCGAATCTTCTGCTAGCTCGCCAACGTAGAACCGCGGCAACCAGTTGTAGACTGCAGCAGGGTGGAAGGCGCTGAACACATCGGTGGCATCTTGCCCCGCGTGAGTGAAAATAATGTTCCCTCCAGGATGTTCCTTGCCAAAGTTGGACACATTGTAAACTTTGTCCTTGATTGCGATCCATGATGGTGAGCCGTTAGTGCCGTTGTGTTCCTTTAACTCCTTCTCAGTGATGGAGACTTGTTCGTTTGCTTCCGTCGTGGATTTCCCATCTGTTTCGGTCACCATTGCACTTTTACGATGAATAATGTTGGGTGCCATCATGAACTTATTCTCCTTGTGCTGAAGAAAAGAAAAATATGGCTTGTTATTCAAACAGGTAATTTATGGTACTCCACCTTCGTCAAAAAACACAATTGGTTCATGTTTAGCGTGCGTATATCGAGTTATGGATGTACGCGGGAAGTGAGAGCACGAAAGAAGCGTAAGAGCTGCTCGTGGCGCAGCCGAGAGCAACTCTGGCTTCTTGAGTGACTTCAACCGTTTCCAATTTTTCCAGTTTTTAAGTTAAAGTTTTCAAAATCCGCGACTTAACCTCAAATGTATCTGGAAACAATTTGCTATGACATGCCGTTATATTCGGCACTTGATGTTTCCATATCAGCCATATTTTGACAGGTATGTTTTCCATATTTAAAATTTAGAGTTTTTTTTTTTTTTTTTTACCAAACAATTATTTTAAAATGTTTGGGACTTTTTAGACTCCTGCTCTTTTAATTTTTGACTTCTTTTGAGTCACTGGTTGTTTTCTGATGTCTTGATTGAGAGCTCAAGCATTTCAACGCACGCAGAGAACTCAACATCGAACAGTTGTAACGAATAACATGGCGTTTCACTTGTTTTGGCAAAGTCCAACGTTTTGTTTTGTCGTCATGAACCTGCTGTAAGTCCGATGCCAGTTGATTGCTGCAAAGCAACAGTCTAATGTCATAGCTTAAGTTGGACGTTCAAGTTCAAGTACAAAGTTCGATGAGTAAAGTTGATACTAAATCACAATGTTGACAACTGTAAAGTTGGATGCTGAGCAAACATTTGATGGAGAAGGAAAAAACCCTAGACATCAATAAAACTGAGCTGAGTTTTTTTTACACAGGATGCTACAAACAGAAAGTACATTCACATTATGATAGCACAATTAATTTTTCCTGATGCAAATTGGTGAAAAATTGTGAGAAATTGTAAGCGATGGAGCAGAAGAACAACCTGGAACTATTACCTCCTGATTCTCAAAGCGAACGCGTAAAATAAATCATTCACAATTATTACATTTCATAGAAATAAATTAAATTAATCCACGCTCTCATTGCATGAAAAATCGAGAAAATAATTTACCTTTAATTTAGCTCTCAATGTCAGAAGAAACTGAAATAACAGTCACTATCACGTCGAATGACTATTGAAAGCGAACTAAATCAAAATCCCCGTTTATAAAAGGGTTTTCACTCCTTTGGCAGTGTTCTAATTTTGTTCATTCTAAAAGGACTTGGGAAATTTGTAAAACTGAATTACAATCCTTAAAGTGAAGTCAATTAGCGCTAAAATTTTCGGAAGTCACTTTATCTAATTAATTTTCGTATTTGTCATGTCACCTAGAGATAACGTAAAGTTTGCGGAGAAGGGCTGGATCAAATTTCGTTTAAGGTCATACAAAATATAGAAAGAGTGACTACACTAACACTCTCGAGCCAAGTTGACGACTATCGTCGCTCACAGAAAACGAAGGTGACTACGGGCTACAGTTAAGTATTCGACAACATTTGATCCCTGTATAGAAAATGCTTATTTAGTCTAATTATTCCTCCAGACGAATAGGCTTTTTATTCCATCTGAGCTTATTATTATTCTTCGTTTTGCGTGACAACGTGACGGTACCAGCGATATTTTGCATAACAAACACTGAAACACTAGCGTGGCTGCGTGGTATGATGTTGTGATTGCATAATCGGACAGTTAAGAAGGTCGCTCAAGGGCAGAGTCGATCTGCATGATCACTTCCAAACAACTTTTTTGTGCATGAAATCTAATTTTCAGCTTAACACGGCGATCAGACACCAATGCACACTATTTTTGTTGGATGAAAATCATTTTCCTTTAAAACCGCTTCAGTAAAACGAAATGAAATAACGGGACTTAAATATCCGGACTTGTCCGAGACAAGTTGCACAACACCTATTACTTATTTCTGTGCATGGTGAAAAGGAAAAATCTAATCAAAGAAGGCTCAAGTGTCGGCACGTGGATTAGAAGGTCGCGAGTAACCTGGGTACCCGTGTTGTGCTCGTGATGATCTCGTGTTCGCTCGTGTGAATACGACAGGGACCTTACAGAACAATCGCTCTGCACGTGCATTTGGCACCTCTGTACAATTCTTAGCCGTCCTCGGCAAACGACTTAGTTTTTAATACATTGCTTCTCGTATTTAGTACTTGAAATTGAACGCCTACATCAACAATTTCCAATTATTTTTTTTATAACCGAGAGACACTGCAGAGATCTACATAAATGCAAGACTATGAAGCAAAACTGATTGGCGACGTTCTCGGTGTCGCCGTCGTCACTGTGTAAGGTTCGTAAATATCGATCCTGACGGTCATGCAAGACCATTTTACCTTAGGAATCGAACACAAGGTCTCGTTATTAAAGTGTGGTTTTTACCGAGGCAAATCATGTAATATAATATACAGAATAGTTTTCCCTAGGAATTTTATTGATTGTAATTAGAGCTTTATGTGCCTAGACGTCAAGGGGGGCAAATTTTCCAATTGACCAGGCCGCACGGGAGTGTTGAATGAATTCGTCGTTATACGACCCTCAAGATCGTAGCTGACGGTGAGGCACTAAGCCGATAGTTTCTTTTGGTGACTTGTTTGGGTCATAGACTGCTAAGGACTTCTTGGGGAGCATTATCGACACTATCCAAGGCTTTCATTTCTGTGTCAAACAGACTGTTTTTGGGCTTTTCATGGTTTTAGTTCATTGTGTTTTCATTTTACTGTATTCTCAGCCTTGTGTATATTTTCTTTACATATTCTTGAAATTTCCCCAGGTACAGCCTCGATGTTCTTATGAAAAGATTCTTATAGAAAAGAGCCTGGGGCGTTTGGGGAATTAAATATATTGGCCTCATTCGCATAAGTTGTCATTCACTGTCGACCGCTCCCTGGCACTGCATGGTCCATTACGTTTTATATAATATGTCGAATCATTCTCGTATTTTGATTGCTTCTTACTCGTGCACTAGGATTGTTTTTCTCTGCACTTGCGCATGCATGATTTTTTACTCCGTGAAACATGCTTTATTTCGGCTCGGTGAACGTAGGTAATTGCTTTTTTTTTTTTAATTTATTTATTTTCAGCAGTGGTCGTGTGCAGTGAATGAATTTTTTGGTACAAGTATGCTCAGTTAAGTAAAGTAAAGTAAAACTTTATTTAGCCAAGGTGGTCCATTCAGTATCGTGGTTGGTATCCAAAGGGGCCCTGGTAATGCTTGCAGGATACTTTTTTCAAAATCACCCATCACCTGAGTCTCCTGCGCTGTTGGTTTTTTTTGGAAGACTTCTACCGGTCCCCCTGCCCCGTTCAAAAGTCAAATGGTCCACCTCTTACATAAAATCAATTCCATGTTGCCGTGTGTCTGTTCAGTAAAATAGATCACAGATGACATCAAAATGTGGTTCTTACCACCCAGGTCTATAAATGAATACCCCTAGATTAAATGCTCGGGTAACCCTGCGATGGGCTAAAATCCACTCTAGAGTTTCATGTAATGGAGAGCAAACGAAAAAAGGAAACCGACTGGAAAAGTTATAACTCTGATTTTTATACCTAATCGTACCTTTCTGGTACGCTTCGGTGCCATATCAGGCGAGTTTGGCAGAGAGATGGTTGGTTTTTTTTGGCGAAGAGCAGTCGAGCCAAAATACCCATGGTGAGACCAAACGAGTCTGATATGCCGGCGAAGCTTACCAAAAAGGTACGATTAGGTACAGCTGTATTTACCGTACCCAAATTCGGCCAAGTGACTATGATATCATAACAATATCATATCAGTGACTTGATGTCCCAGGTTATCAAGACAGTCGACACGGCTTCTAATTGGCTAATCGCGAATATGGGTACGGGAAAAAAGATAAGGGTACGCAGAAATTTGTCGTCCATTCATTATGTGGTGTACTGGTTGATATCAGTTGATATCACTACTTTAATACCATTAGTCTGCATCAGAGTAAGATGCTATAGCCATTTTAAGAGACTAATTAGTACATCCTGGATAACGTGCATGTTTCTCAATTAGAGTGGTTAAGTCAGTTGCTTTTTTTAAAGCATTT